TTTCTACTTACTAATATACAAATTGTAAATGTTTTGTGTGTATATATATATATATATATATATATATATATATATGATTTAATTAACTTATAATAAACATGTATAGATCTTATTATATATTTTTAATTTGTATATTCAATATTTGTATAAAATATCGTAGAAATAACTTACTTCATATGTAAAAATTAAAACAAGAGTGTAATTATGAAATTTGTATATCATATTTCTTTATACGTAAATATAGCGGTAAAAAAAGATAAAGGATCTGTTATACAAGTGAGTATGCATGAGCATATTTTATGTATGTGGTTCAAATTTGTACATGTTAATGTAAAGAATAGAATTACACGAATTTATCTAACTTTCTCATATCTCAGGTAATGTATGAAAGATATTAATTATTAAACGTTTGTTCTCTATTTTTCATATTTGATCAATTCATTGAAAAGTTGTATTTGTAATTCCACGAGAGGGAAATACGAATTACCTAAAAAGAAAGATTTCAAATGCCCTCTTTCTATTTTCGTCGTTCATCATCAATTGTTATAGAAATATTAAAAAATCCTGTTCCAATGCTTAACCGACCTAATTCGTTTTCAATACCTATTATTAATGCAATTTTCATTTATTGGAATGTCACATTCAAATATTTGTTTTCTGTTTTTTCATTCTGCATTTATCATCGGCTTTGCATTTTCAAGATATTAAAATTGATTTAATTCTTTTACAACAAATCATTTTAGTATTGGCTGGTAATCTAATATCCATTTTATGTAAGTTGATACTCTAGTCACGAAGATCAAACCAAACTGTACGTGCCGTTCTGAGATAAATGCTGTTTGACATCTTATAAACTTTTCATATGTTATCACAAAATAATATTGTCGATGCAATTGAATTATTACTATCAAATTAAAGAAAATACAATTTTTACATAATTTAAATATCTACAAAATTGTAATCTTTATACTTTATAGTATGGATAATACAAAATATTTAACAAATATATAAATTTCTTATAATTTTCTATAAATTTTTTAATTAAAAGTGAATTTCAAGTTAGTACAGATATAAAAGCATATAACTAAACGATTAAAATCTTGTAAAATTATACACATACATATACACAGAATTATGAATAGGTTAGAAATAAAATACTGTTCTTATATGATTTGAACTTGTACACAAAATTTATTAATTTGTAAAAATAATGAAATTATAATGTATTTATAAATATTATTGTAATATTTTAATAAATATATAATATATTAATCAGGTATACATGGTATTAATTATTATATAGTAGAATCTATATTAATAAGCGTAACAAAATATAATTAAGCTGTTCACCAAATTTGTATTTAAATTAATTGAATTATTATATAAAATTTTAAGTGTATATATAGGTAATATTATATTATATGGTTTGTAAATTGTGAAAGAAATATGAATTTCAAATAAACATTATAATTTACAATAAATATGAAATGAAAAAGAGACAGATTCAACTTAATTTCCTTCAGGCATTCAAATATTTTCGTAAAATTAAAGAAAAATAGTTTGTAATCATATTATTTGATCATTTATAATTTATATTATTTTTCAATTTTTCAATTTACTGTTATATTCAATTTAATCTTAGAGTATCAATTATATAAATAAATTATAAATAATATAAATAAATATTACAAGTAAATAAAACCAAAAAATATATTTGCTCATTAAAATGCATAAACGGAAATATTTTTAAATTAGTAAATAATATTGTATCAGTCGGACTATACGCAGTTTGCTACTACTTAAAGCATATTCCTCAGTAATTAGAAATTTTCATTAATAAAAAAAATAATATTTTGTTAATGAAAATACTTAAAATATATATATAATTTATTATTTTTAAAATGTTAACTTTCCTTTATCTATCTAGATTAAAATTTTTGTTTTATTTTCAATGTATTGCATTTTCAAGTGTGCAATACAAAATTTATTCTTAAATTCTTAAATGCAACTCGAATTAATTTATAAAATTAATTTTGACTATTAATTTTCTTAACTAGAGTTTTAATTAATAAATAAAAAAATTTTGTTAAATTTGTGAAGATATTAATCAACAAGATGAAAAGTTAACAAATGTTATGCAAATTGATTGATAATCAATAAAGTATATAATAAATATATTGATTTTTTTTATATAATTATCTCAAAATAATTTGATATGATTCTTTAAATGATTAAAAATTGAAGTAAATATAAATAATACATATTCGCTATGTAGGAATGATAAATTCAGATAATAATATTTTAGTAATCTATTCTTCAATTTGTAGTTCAAAATTATAAATTTCATTAAATGGGTAAAGAATAAACTTTAGTTTAAATGATAATAATTAGATTTTTGTGTAGATGAAAAAAATTATTTATATTTAAATTTAAAGTAAAATTCAGAAATAAACTAGATAACAAATTGAGATAAAAATTTTAAACGGAGTTGTATAAAAATGTGGGATTCGAGTTTTGTAATATATAATAGAAACGAATAGTAATTTATTATTTTTTATTAGCAAGGCCATTGAATATCAAATCAATTAATATATTACTAAAATATAAGCGATTATTATTACAACTTTAGAGAATTTAATACTAATTTTATTACACACTCAGATATTGAAGATTTTACAAAATACAATAAAGTCGCTAACTTTGACATCAACATTTTAAACATTTTCGAAATTCGAACGAATGTAATAAAATATTTTATGAGGTATATTTGTAATATTAAATTAAATTATATATACTGGGGAAGTAATTTTTGGCTTATACACGACTATAAATAATCTAAATTTACTGAACTAGAGATGTATTCAAATAATAAAATCTGAAAATGTTGAAAGGCATCCTCTATTTTATTTAGAAAAAGGTTATTGATGAAAGTTTATTTTATAATTACCAAGTTTATTTTGTATTGTATAGTATATATTAGCAATGTTTTATAAGCTAATCAGCACAATATATTAATATACTTATTAGATATAGAAAGAACTATATAATTGTAGATAATATTATACATTTTAAAATAATTTTTTTTAAAGTTCTTCAAAATTTAAATATCTCACATCAAGTAGCAAAATAAACCCTCGATATTAAATACTTAACAGAAATTTTGAAGTAGAATTGAATATCAAGCACATTAATAAAATATTAATAAAATATCTTAGGTGATACCAGTGAAGTTTTGTTCAATTTAAAAATTTTACCAAATAGAAAATACATTATCTAATATTTTCAGTAAGATAATTATTATTAATAGCGATTGTAAGTATTGAGAATTTAAAATATTTATATTTTAAAATAAAAAACAAGGACATCAAATTAATTTTTTTATTTATTTTTTGTACCATAAATCTATTTTAAACGAAGGTTATAAGACTGATCAAGTTTACTCACTTTATAGTTATTTTTATCTGTATCAAACTTATTTTAAAGAATGAAATGGTTCATTCCCAGTGGCAAATACTAATTAACATAAGAAGTAATGTCAGGTGTTGTAAGTTGTAATATAAGAAGGCAAAGCTGACTAGTTATAATTACGGTATAAGTTGTTAATTTATTGAGTTAAAATATAAGAACATAAAGCTGACTAGTTAAAAAAAATGCTGTAATGAAAAATGATGTAATCAAAATATATTAGAAAATAGCTGAAAACTAATGGTTGGAATTAATATAAATAGGAATTTTTACGATTATTTAACTATAAATTATGTAAAAAATTGAGCTTCTAATATAATTTAAATTATTAATTATAATTATAATATTCTAATTTAATTTATTAATATTAATTATAATTTAAATATTATTTAATATGGAATATTGTTGTAATTACATGATTAATTGCTCGATTACTTTATAAAATATAAATATATTTGTATGAAAAGATTTTATATATAACTCTTCTTATTTCTATTTGTAACTGACAAATCTGTTTTTATAAATAATTGGTGCATTAAATTTTTGTCATAAAAAAATATTCAATTTATACTTAAAAATATAAATAGCAAATATAATAGATAAATTATAAAAATAAAAGAATAAGATTAAAATATAATCCAATATTAAGATTCTAATTTCCATATTAAATTATTTCATTCTCAATAATTTTATTACCTTTATGCAAATACCACAAACTACATGAAATTTAATCAATATACCTTATAAGTTAAGATTAAATTTTTAAAAGTTCATGTTCAACGGTTTTGCAATAAAATTAGTCCTCTTTATTATAACTGTTATTTTCATATAATCTTAATATATAAGAAATATATATATATAAATATATGCAGGTAACAAAATTAATAAAAAAGTTAATTCGACATTAAGTTTTTAGACACGTAAATTTATATAATTAAAGATAATTACGTTTTTATTAAATCATTTTATAACTATGAGTTGCCAATTTTAAATGCTGAATAAAAACATGCATTAATACTTATCAATAAGTAATTGTGATTTTATCAACTTGTTCATACTGCAATCACTACTATCTGCGGGAACATTAATTACAACATCTATAAGAAAAAAATTAGATAAAGTATTAAAATCTCTGATATTATATGTTATAATATTTATATCAAATAATTAATTAATAGCTGATAACAATTTTATACAAGTATTATAAAGCAAAAACAATTTAATGAATTTAATAATTAAAATATATTAATATTTTAAATAAAGTTAACATGAAACCAAACTCAATATCTCACTATTAAAAAAATTTAGGATAATTTCGAAACATCTTAACAATCGGTTAATTAAAAAATCGATTAGATACTAATCCTATAATTTTTCTAATACATTATTGTTGAATACTAAATATATAAATCCTTCTGAGCATGTATTTTTATCATTCTTTTTTTTTTCTATTAATTTTTGTGAAATTCAATATTATTATACATATTGTTATATTCACAATTCTTCTCATAACCTACGATTTTTTACAGCACCTGCAGCAACGAGTAAAACCAAGATAAAACTTTCAAAAAATAGTAAACTCAGAGACGGCCACTAGTGCTATTAAACAACAGCAGCAACAGTTCCACGAGTACAGTAAAAAACGAGTTATTATGCAAGACAATCCAAACTTACTGGATGAAGGTGCGAACCTCCTAAAGGATCTGACACACGCGAATCTAAATGAGCCACTCCAGCAGTACAATACGAATACCTTCAAACTCATACAGACTAGTGAGTAACTGAAATAAATCTATATCCATATCTACAAAGCATAATATATATATATATATATATATATATATATATACAATGTGGGAATATTAAAAATTTTTCATAAAAGTCTATTACTATAATTGTATACAATTTGTAGGACTAATATATATCGTTGACAATATTTTGTTAAATCTAATTAAAATTTTAACCTAATTATAAAAAAAAAATTCTAGAAATATTAAAAATAAGCAAAAAAAAAGTGAATACTGTATAATGAAGATTAAAAAAATATTAAAAATTACAATAATAACTACTTTAATTAAATAATTTTATTGAATAATTATATTTGTAAAAATTGTCGTCTTATCTCTATACTTTTAATTTAATTTCCTTTTTTTTTATAAGATTGAAGTGTCATTTTAATTTACATGTAATTAATATCATTTGCCAGAAATTTATTTTATAAATTCTTAGTTGTTCAATACTATATTATATAATAATTCTTTTAGTTCTATTTACTTTTAATCGATGAAAATAAAAGTAGTTGAAAAGTAAATATACAGAAATATCCATTTTGAAATATCCATCGAATACATTGTTTATGTAATAAACGTCAAATAGATTAAATATACTTTACAATATTGTTTAATATGTGTTGTTATAATTTTTTTAATGGTGATTGATTGATTTTTTAATATAAAAATTATTCTATTTATAATGATGTTTCTAATAGATATAGTAAATAAAGTAGGTTTAAAAGAAAACAAATTTTAACAAGAATAAAATATAATTGCTCTCGTTGTAATGGTTTTCTTAGTTAGAAAAAAGAATATTCCATTTGAATAAATTAATAAATTTAAACTAATAAGTTATTTAAAAAATAAAAAATGAAAAACTTTTTCTATTCGAAAAAAAATAAAAATAAATAAATGGTGTAATGTTTACATTCCTGTAATAACTGTATTTAAAATTTCACTATAATAAAAGTTAATTGATCCTAACCAATATGTGAAGTTATTAAAATCATGAGCTTAAGAAATGACTTCTTTTTTATAGGAATATATATTGTATTTAATATACTAAAGTTATTTCTGGAATTAAAATGGAAATTGGAATTAAAATTTTTAAAATAATACATACTCATTAATCACTACTCCAGACAACTAGACGAATAAAATGTATATATAGTTTTAATAGGCATATTCTATATCTGTATAATATATAATATGACAACTGAAATCATATTTTCTATTCATCTATAATACTATGAATTCACAATTATTAGTTGTATATTTATATTTTATAAAATTTATATTCATAAAATTTAGAATATATTACGAAAATAAAACAGTTTATGTATGTATGAATATTGAATTTTAATAAAACAATAAAAAAATATTATGAATAATGAACTATATTAATTTCAACATAAAATATATTGAATATTATGTAACATATAGTTAATAGAATTTCAATAAAGTTATATATTACACAAGGAAACTCATCTGAAAGAAGTTATTAAAGTATTTATTTATTAATTAGTGAAAATTTTCATAATAACACATGATTCGAAGTTATGGTGAACTGATATAATTTGCGGAAGTGGTTCAAAACAAAGTTTTACTGAGATCAAGGAAATAGCTTATTATCATTCATAATAAATAATTCCAAAACAAATGATAGTCAAGAGAAGCAAATTTAACTATCATGAAATTTAAATCGAACTTTACCCATTGCCGCTGCTTTCGTCATCATTAGCGTTGTCGTAATGGACTGATGAAAGAGATAAAACTTGAAATATTCGTAAAACAAAACTAACTTATATCATTATAAATTTATGTTTCTTATTACAAATTAATTTGTTAAAATTCAACCATTTCACGCATTATACATTTAATTGGAAATTTATAACTAAAAAATAAATAACAATGAAATAATAAAATTGAGTAATTTATATAAAAAATAAATTTTTTCATTTTTCCGCGCTGAAAATTACTTCTGATGCAATGTTAAAGCTGTTATTAATAATTGATGTATTAGTTATTTTTAACAGCTTCAAATTCTATATTAAATTAATTTAACTTATAAATTTAGAATATAATAAATATTTGTTTAAATAGAAAACATAATTTTTTAAATGCAATTTAAATTTAATTTTTACAGTCAGAGCAATTAAAAGGTACAATGTATATAAATGAAGCGTTTTTCACTAAATCTTTATTTATATATACTTGTATATGAAGATATAACAATATTGTACCATCGGACTACATTATTTATTCGGTTTTGTAATTCTAAATTTAACTTTTTTATGTTATATTATAATTATTCATTTGCTACATGATACTTGTGAATATTTTTCTGTTATTATATCTATTTTTAATTTATTGTGTATATTCCTATATTCTAACAATATTATTTTGAGTAATTTTATTATAATGTTAAATAGAGATGATCGATGAACGATTTTCTATTAATTAAATAACCTAAGAGTTACGATGTAATATTATTAAATATGATTATTTGAAATTCGCGCGTAAGTGCACCATGCACTCAAACACCTGTAGGGCTCTCGGACTTACGCTGGTGCAGGTTATATTTAATAAAGAAAGGAGTCTGGTTGCCATGGTAACTCTGCGAGGTGAACAGGCACACGAGGTATTGATTATCACCCCACCTGAATTCAGGTCAGCCCCTGACTTAATACCTTTGCTGTATTATACAAGCTTTGTTTGCATCTGTTTGTCTCTTTTTTTATATACGTTTTTTCCACTCCATCCCTCTACCTTTAATTATAACGCTGTGAAATTTGCATTCAATGTTACAAATTTGCCTATAGAATACACACTATACATAAAGTTAACGACATTATCTATTAATATGCGATTGTGCTTTATTGAACGATAATTGTCCTTTACATAATTGTCCTATACATTATTTAATATATGACCTAGAAAAAAATTTCAAAGTGATAAAAGTAAATCGAAGTAAGAATTGAAAGATAAAAATGACAATATTTGATATTTTAAAAAATTTTAATATTCATTGTCATATTATTTTGGATAACAAAATACTCTGAATTGAAAACATAAATAAAAATAAATTATTTTATATTCAACATTAACAATGATCTAAAAATAATTACCATATTAATAGATCAATTATAAGATCAGTTAAATTAATATATTAAAATACAGTCCCCTCAATCGAAATATTGATTGAGATATAGATATATTAAATTTCGAATTATAATTTCTATTTAATGCAAATATATATATATATATATCTACGTATTAAGATTGAGGAAACAAGACGCTCTTTTGTGAATTAATTACTTATGATATTAAGGAATTATATAAAATTGCCAATTAAACTGTTTATCCAGTTCAAGGCATAAAAAACAATATTTTATCTTGTAAAAGAATTAATTAAATCTTTATACTAAATATACTAAATATTTAAAAATAAATACTTAAAAGTATTTCTGTATCAATGTAAGTTTTTATTATATGTTTATAATTATATTTTTATATCCCAATATAAACTAAAATCTACCTATATTAGTAATTATTTTAGTAAGTTTAGTAAGTAAATTCAAATAGACGAAATTGAAAATTTTCAAAATAAAATACAGATCTTTGTTTCATTGACAATTATAACAATTATCATATAAATATAGATTCAGTTATTCTATTTCTATATTCTATATTCTATAAGTTATTACAATATACTAATCTAAACTACTATCTTACTATATTTATTTTTATACATGAAATAATTTTATACATTAATATTTACTATAAGAGAAGTTATGTGTTATGTAGTGGGGAATTGGACACCAGAGTATATCAAGCTATTTGCACCAAGGAAGATGTTGGAAAAATTATAGGCTATACTTATATTTTTTATGCGTTTTTTATAGTTACGGAAAATTTAAATTGAAAGAATTAGAAAATATTCGAATTCTTTAAATTGTATAAATCACAATGTTCAAAAAACGGAAATGACTTTTGTAAAAATCATAAATAAAATTTACCGCCAATGATAGAGCAATACTTTAGATTATAATATTTTAGATGATATATTTTTTAATAAGAAACTTTATGAATACGAATTTTATGGAATAATGATTTAAACCTTGTACAAATAAATCTATACAAATAGCCTTTAATTTCATTTCTAATTTTAAGTATGCATATAAATTTCTTATTATCAATAGAAAATATTTCTTTAAGTAATTATTAAATATTGTATTAGTTCATTTTGTTTTGCTAATGAAATAGTTTTTTTTTGTACGGTATTTAAAATATATACAAAATACGGATAAAAATTTATTTCATAATAGCAACTTTTATATACATTGCTATTTTAGTAATTTATATTCATTTATTTAATATAATTATATTAAAATAATAAAAATATTCTATTTTTTAAAATAATTTTGAAATAACGGAATACATTTATTATATGTAAAAGAGAATAAGATGTACTTATTAGTAAATTTTAAGCTTTGTATCTAATGTACCTAATCATCTGTATAAATATATACATAATTATATTTCATAATTTAGGTTTTTTATAATTTCAGTATATATATCGTGTTTTAAAAAAAAAAATCTTAGAAATTATTCAAATTTTAATATAAATTCTACATCCTTTCGAGCAGAATACTCCAGAATCAAATCTAGATATTAAGAAGAAAATGTTTTTATATTTAATAATAATAATTTATAATCATTTAAATAATATGTAGAATGTAAAAAAAGACCGGTGTAAAGCTTTCTATTTTGTTTCTTTATTAATAAAGAAAAATAAATAGAATATTTGGTTAAGCAGAAATATAACGTGTAAATGAATAATTTATATAATTATATAATAATCTATCTATATTAAAAAATACATTGTAATCATTTATAAGATATAAAATTAAATTGCTTCTTTGTTAGTTCATGTATTTTATACCAATATTTCTTCCAAATAAATGAAAATATGTAATCGACAGTCAATTATAATTCATT